ATACGGATGTCTGTGTAACTGTCCACCATCCCAGACTTTAAGCTCTACTACCAGGATTGGGTTTGCCGTGGTGTTGCCCAGCCCACATTTAGTGGCAGTTATAACAAGAATGAACAAAGGAATAAGCCTTGCGTGAGAGCGGTTCAGTGCTGAGTTTCACTTCCCTGTTTCCTACAGAGCAAAGATGGAGAGATCAAGAAGGCTGGCTCCGATGGTGAGTGGGAACCTGGGCTAGGGCAGTACATTTGGGGGAAGGGGGATGTCCTTAGTGATAGGTCCCCAAGGCACTTGCTCTCCTGGGGGAGGAAGGGGAGAGGCCAGGTTTTTCTTCCCCTCCCCCTAAGGTCTGGTGCCTGAGCCCCCAGTCCCACCTTACAGGTGACATTATGGACAGTTCCTCAGAGGCCCCTCCCATCTCTATCAAGTCCCGCACCCACTCCGTGTCTGCAGGTGAGTGGGGGCCACTGTGTGTCAGGGGACATGCAGGTCAAGCTCACTTCCAATGCCTGGCCCAGGTGTCGGCTGACACCCTTCTCCTTACAGACCCGTCATGCAGACCTGGGTCAGGGGGCCAGGGGCCTGAGTCCTCCACCTGGAAGACACTGGGGCAGCAGCTGAACGCAGAGCTGAGGAGCCGTGGCTGGGGCCAACAGGATGGTCCGGGACCCCCTTCCCCTTGTCCCAGCCCCCGAAAAGCCAGCCCCTCCCCAGACAGCCTGGGCCTCCCAGAGGATCCTTGCTTAGGCCCCAGAAATGAAGGTAAATGGGCACACTAGCCCCCACCCAACACTGGGCTGGGACCCTGAAGGTGGGAGGCATGGGCCGGAGGAGGGACAGCTGCTGGGACCATACCCTAATTCCCTGGCCTCCCCCAGATGGCCGGCTGAGGCCAAGGCCTCTCTCAACAGGGCAGCGAGCAGTGTCTGTGCACGAGGACCAGCTGCAGGCCCCTGTTGGTGAGGGGAGACACCTCCATGTGTGCTTGGGTGCAGGGGATGGGAGAGGGTGGGCTCCAGGTAGTGCAAGAGGTGAGAAATCAGGGAGCCAGGGGTAGGGGGCTAGCAGCCCTTCCAACAAGCCCTGGTTCCACCTCCAAAAGAGCAACCTCTGCCAGGGGTGGGAGGAGACGGGAAGGGGGAGGCTGCGAGGGCAGCAACGTGTGCATGTATGCGTGTGTGCGTGCGTGCCAGCACACACTGGGGGCAGAGGGCTGGGAACAGGCGGCAAGCCCTTAATGACCCACCCCGTGCCTTTCTGTGTCCCTCAGAACGGCCCTTACGGCTGCAGCGCTCCCCTGTTCTCAAGCGAAGGCCAAAGCTTGAGGCACCCCCATCACCAAGCCTAGGTAAGAAGGCGCTGGCTCGGTTGTTTGGGTGTCAGGACTACTCAGTCCAGTTCTGACCTTCCTCCCTCTCCCTCTCCTTTTGCAGGATCTGGCCTTGGAGCCGAGCCTCTGCTCCCACAGTACACAGAGTCCTCCAGCCCTGAGCGAAGCCCACCTTCCCCAGTCACAGACCAAAGAGGCGGCGGCCCCAATCCCTGACCCTCTCTTTTCCTGCCGCATGAGATTATTTTATTAAAAAACTCAAGGAAGCAGAGCGTGGAGCACTGTTTGTCCATCCACAGGCATGACCACATTCTCCCACGTGGTCACGTGACCCCTCACACCTGGGTTTGCTCTGAGTCTGGCTGTGGCTCCATCAGGAAGTGCAAGGCCCAGGCCAGGAGCTGCGAAGGGAGCCTGGGAAGAGAACCAAAGGTGTAGGTTAAGGAATACTGGGACTAGTGACCGAGAGTGGGGCAGCCCCAGGCACTCACCTGGCAGCCTGGACCTGGGCACAGACAGAAGTGCAGGGTGGGTCGTACTCATATTGGAAGGCAGAACCATCACGATGCTTCTTTGGGGGGTCCTGAAGAGGATGTAGTATCTGGAGAGGGGCCAACAAGGACCCCTAATGCCATCCAAGGCTACCCGAGCCCCCTTCCAGCTCTATCCAAGGCCCACCTCATTCTACCCTCCAGTTGTAGGGGGCTTATACTCACCCAGGCGGGACTGGACTCCAGGGCTCCCTCGGTGGTTCTTATCCTTGGAGAATGCTGCCAGTTCTTGGGGGGCAACCCTAGCTCCTTGAATTCCAGTTTAGACTTCTGGGGCCTGGTCACATGGGCCTGATGTGGACTGGGGATGTGACCAAGATGTGACAGACTTGTGGTACAACTCAGGATTGGGGAGTTGGATACATGGCTTGGGTGTGGGGAACTAGGGGGTATGGGGCCAGGGGCTGAACAGATAGCTGGTAGGGGCTGGGAGCTGGCCTTCTGCCCTGTGTCTGGAGCGGCCAAGGACAGGGCAGGCATAAGGCTGACACTGGCACCACTTTCCTCTGACGACATGTGGCTGGGTAAGGCAGGGGTTCCTGGGGAGGAGGGGACTCACTGTGGGCACAGCCCTCTCAGTTCAGGCTAGCTGAGTGGCCTGTGACCTTATGCAGGCCTGCAGGGACCATGTTCGTCCCCTTCATAGCATCCTGCGTAACCTGGGCGGTGTGCAAGTGTGGCTTCAGCAACACCTTACCTGAGGAACTGAGTGAGGAAGAAGAGGAGGTCAGGGTCAATGACAGGTCCTGAGGAACCGGGTCTGGTGGGGGCAGCTCAGGGCCTAGGGGTCAGGAAAGGATGATGAGCACTGTGGGCACCCGGCCCCCAGACCGTCCCTGCGGGACCCCTCCAGTCCTCCTTACCCTGTGTCCTCTGACCTGGGCCCAGAGAGTTCAGAATTCGCTGGTCACTCTCGGAGATGTGCAACCATAGGCTGGGGACAGTGTATACAGCTTCTCCCTGTGGAAGCGAACTGTCAGCCTGGCCCTTGCCCAGCTCCTCATCCTGACATTTCCCAAGGGAAGCCCCGAACTGACCATGGCCAAGTGGCTTGAGGTGGCCCAGCGGGTGAGTGGGGGCGTCGTGCAAGGGCCTGACAGCATCAGACAGCTCTCAGCCAGGCGCACTAGTGCCCCTTGATGCTCCTGTTCCTCCTGCACCTCATCCAGAAGTTGGGACAGTGAAAGGCCTGGGGTCCGGGTAGGGGAGAGGATGGGCTGAAGCTCAAGGAGGAGGAAGGGTTGGGTGGGTGGGAAAGAGAGCCTATTAAAGGAGCAGGAGGTGATGACTGGAGGGTCACTTTACAGAGTTAGGGCCAACCCCTACAAGTACCTGCATTGGAGGAGGTGGACTCTGAAAGGTGCTCCCTACAGAAACAGAGGGGACAGGCCTCAGGAACAATCCCGAGGCCTGTCGATACATCTGCCATCCTCTGATCAAGCCACACCTGGCCCAAACCCAACCCCAGACTCACTCCAGGCAGTCTTTGAGCTTTTTCTGCACATCTGGGTCTTGGTTACTAGGGAAAAGAGTGATAAGCAGTCAATGTTATTAGGGGTCCAAGCCCTCCCACCCGAAAGGCCTATGCCAATGTCAGCCAGGCCTGGGTGGGGAGAGCAGTTGGAGAGTGGAGGTATCACTTACCAACTAGTCACCCAGTCCCGGGGTTGCTCTGTGGGCATTAGGCTGAAGCGGTGAACCTGGAGGTAGAACTCTGTGGGCTGGAGGGGTGAGTTCAGGAATGGGTCTCAGGGGCTGTCACAAAGAATCAGGCCCAGGAGCCCGCCCAAGCCAGCCTTACCACTCACCATGCCACCCTCAGCCACTTGGACTCGGACCTCACAGTCTTGCAGTAGCAGCAGTCGGCCTTCAGCCTCTCGGAAGCCAAATTCCTTCTCTTCCCTGCGGAGAGCACGCATCTCACAGCCTAGTTGGCGGGAACAGCCCCGCCTGCCTGCGGCCCGCCCACGTCAGGCTCAAGCCTCGAGCTCCCTGCTGGGCTCAAACCTCCCACGGCCCCGCGGCGCCTTTCTCACCAGTCCGAGGCGTTCAGGACTTCCCACGTCATCAGGCATCGGACACTGTGGGTCCCGTCGGACACAAGCAGAGAGGCCCCGACATCGGATGTGTCAGGGGCGCGGGACGGGACCGGGGCCTCCGCCTCCTGCAGCACCTGATACAGCAACGGGCGTCAATCCCATCACCCTGGGGCCCCACCCCGGTCTCCAGGCCCTGACAGGGTGGCGAGTACTCACCTGGAGCAGCTGCGCCACTCGTGGACTTGAGAGTTTCTCTGACCCCAGGACCAGCTCTCGAATCCAGGGCCGAAGGACCACACTCCTCAAGCCTGCCATTCCCGCAGCTGAACGTAGAGGAGCACCGCTCGCCCGGGTTTCCCGCGGGCGCTGCGGCTCCACCTCTTGTCGGAAGAGGAAACGCACGACTGCTGGGCGGGACCTGATCGAGTCCCCGCCCACGGGCATCCCTGCGCGTGCGCTCAAATGCGTTCTGTTTGGTAACTTGTGTGCAGGTTCTTGGGTCGACTGGATGCTGGCTTACTTGTTATCTCTCCAAACAGCAGCCGGTCTTTTGGGCCATTTGTCAAAACTACGTTGGCACCACGCAGGAAGGAGACAAAGGATGGCGCGGATGGAGAGGGAGGAATGTGGAGCCTGAGGCGGCGGCCTAGGGTAGTCCGAGCGAATTGGCTCGAAGTTACTTAAACGCCGTGTGACTCCGAAGGAGTCAGTGAATATTATAACTCAGTTTTCTCATCTACAAAGTGCGCAGCCTAGTAACGCTAGGAGAAATAGTACTTAACAAATACCACTTCCCATCACTCTCCCCTCGGATTGGCCGAGCCCCTCCCCGAGACTACAGTAACGCGCGGACCGTAGCGTAATGACGTAAGAGCACACGAAGACGTCTCCATCCCCATCACCGCCGTCTCCTAGGAAACGTGGACTCCGTAGTTAGCCCCTTGACGTCATGGTCTGGATGGGAGGACGGGGCCAGGGCTACCGCCAGGGGCGGGGCGGTGCGGGCCGGCCGGGCCGCCGGGCCGTGCACCTGCGCCTCCGCGGGCCGCCTGGGGCAGAGTTCCCGGCCCGCTCGGCCCCGCCATGGCCAGGCCACAGAGAACGCCGGCGCGCAGTCCCGACAGCATCGTGGAGGTGAAGAGCAAAGTAAGGGCCCCTCCAGCCCCGGCTCCGGCCACTAGGTGCTTCCAATTCCCTCATTCTCCCCTTCCTGGCTCCTTGGTCCAACTGCCTTTTTCTCTCCTCCATCCCCCATGTCCCATTCTCTGGCTTTTCTTCTCGTTTTCCCGCACCCACCGTCCTTCCTTTCTCCGGCCTCTAGAATCCCTCTGTGGCCTGGGTTACCTGGAGGGTGGGGAGAAGACCTTGGACAGCGTCCCTTGTACTGGAGCTGAGGTCTGGGACCAGCCTGCAGCTGTTGCGGCAACCCGCTTTCCCACCCCTGCCACCCTCGGACCGCTGGTGAAAAAGGACTCAGGCTCCGTCCTAACCCCTCCTCTTTCCCCCCACTCCCTGCCTCCAGTTTGACGCCGAGTTCCGACGCTTCGCGCTGCCCCGCGCTTCGGTGAGCGGCTTCCAAGAGTTCTCGAGGTTATTGCGTGCGGTACATCAGATCCCGGGCCTGGATGTGCTGCTTGGCTATACAGATGCTCACGGCGACCTACTGCCCCTCACCAACGACGACAGCCTGCACAGGGCCCTGGCCAGCGTACCCCCGCCGCTGCGCCTGCTAGTGCAGAAACGGGGTGAGGAGAATGGGGTACAGTGGGTAGCCTCTGTGGGGTAGAGTGACAGGGCAGGTCTGTCATGTCCAGGGTACCTAGGCTTCACCCTCTGCATACCCTGCCCTTGGCCTGACCTCCAAGTGGTAGGAAATAGCTACAGCGTTCCCTTCCCCCAGCCTGGGCCTGATGGAAAAGGGCCCAAATGGGAAAGGGTCTCTGATCTCAGTGCCTCTCTCTCCTGCAGCAGAAGCTGACTCCAACAGCCTGGTCTTTGCCTCCAACTCTCTGCAGCGGCGTAAGAAAGGTCTTCTACTTCGGCCAGTGGCACCTCTGCGCACCCGGCCACCCCTCCTAATCAGCCTGCCCCAAGATTTCCGCCAGGTTTCTTCAGTCATTGATGTGGACCTACTGCCTGAGACCCATCGACGGGTGCGGCTGCATAAGCATGGCTCTGACCGTCCCCTAGGTTTCTACATCCGAGATGGCATGAGCGTGCGTGTAGCTCCCCAAGGCCTGGAACGGGTCCCGGGCATCTTCATCTCTCGCCTGGTACGAGGGGGCCTGGCTGAGAGTACAGGGCTGCTGGCAGTCAGTGATGAGATCCTCGAAGTCAATGGCATTGAGGTGGCTGGGAAGACCTTGGACCAAGTGACAGACATGATGGTCGCCAACAGCCACAACCTCATTGTCACTGTCAAGCCAGCCAATCAGCGCAATAATGTGGTGCGTGGGGCATCTGGGCGTCTGACAGGGCCTCCCTCTGTCAGGCCTGGGGCTGCTGAGCCTGACAGTGATGATGACAGCAGTGATCTGGTCATTGGGCATCGACAGCCTCCCTGTTCCAATGGGCTGTCTCAGGGGCCTCCATGCTGGGACCTGCACCCAGACCGCATCCTTCCCAGTGCCCGCAGCTCTCTGCCATCCCTAGACGATAAGGAGCAAGCCAGCTCTGGCTGGGGAAGGAGCACGCGAGGAGATGGTAGTGGCTTCAGCCTCTGACACGCAAGGAAGCAGCCCCTTGCCATGCCAGGGGACTTCCCCAGTGGGGGTTTTAGCTTGCTCACAGGGCCCTCTTGGTCTGGGGAGCATTAAAGGTTTTCTACAAATGCAGTTATGGTCCTTCTGTGTCCCAGCCCCAGCCTCCTCCCTGATCCCACAATCCTGCCTTCAACCCTGGACATGAGGCAGAGGAAAGAAGGGCAGCAGAGAGACTTTCCTGCAGTTGAATAGCAGGAGGGCTACCGGGCTTGGAATTTCTAGTGTAAGAAGAGCTCTTATGGAAAGAAACCCCACTGCGTACAAAAAGTTTAATTTTGACAAAGAGGTAAAGAGGCTGGGCTAGAATGGCCCTTCTGCAGCTACCAGTGGCTAGGAAAAGTGCTCTGGGGATACTGTCCCCCGACTGCTCCTGTCTTTGGACTCTGATGGCGCCTGATCCTGTCCTTTGCAACCATGCAGTGGTCCTCAACAAGGACCCCCACCACTACCCTTATAAAAGGGCTCAAGCATCCATCTTTATGAAGACCTTGGGACGGGAAAAGATCTTGATGGCCTCCTCTACTTGCACCAGCTTCCGATCCAGCTCAGCACGGTAGCTCTGGGCCCTCAGTGAGTCTGCCCCAGCAGGCAGCAGCACCAGCTCACGCAGCAGCTGGCTCTGGCCTACAGGGGGCCCAGGAACAGTTAGTGCTAGGCAGGGGTGCATGGTCCCCGGTGGGTTCCCCATCCAGTCCCCCTTGCCCACATACTCACTCTGAAGCAGATTGCTCAGTGTCTCCAGTCGCTGTTTCTCAGGCATGCGAGTATGGCCAGGGGGCATAGCAGGGTCTGGCTGGCTCCGTTGGCGGGCCTCAGCCTCTCGTCGCCACAGATCCTTACGCTCCAACAAGCTGTGGAATGTACAGGCTCAGGGTTGATGATCTCAGGGCAGATGTTGGCCCCCACCTGCCACAGGCACCTGTCACCCTGGGTGTTGGGCAGTGGGACCTACTAATGAGGCACGTGGCCCTTCTGTGTGGCGTTGTAGTGCTCCTGGGCTTGTCGTTGCTGCTCCAGCACCTGTGCCAGGATCTGCAGTGAACGGGAATGCCGCCGGGGGGCCCTCTTGGCAGTGCGGGCATTGTGGCTAATGAAGTCCACACCCAGGCCTGGCACCTATAGGACATGGCAAGCGTGATGTGCAGACAGCACTGTGCTGTGCCCCTAAACCCCCAGGGTCCTTGTCCCACCTCCCAGCCTACACATACTCGCACCTTGGCATTGGGTTCCGGTGGGGTTAGCTGGGGACTGGGGACACGGGGAGGTGGGAGCCCAGGGCCGCAGCGAGAGTGTGCCCGCAAGAAGTGCGCCGTCTCTGTCCCAGACGCAGGGACAGGCTCCTGGAGGGCAGTGCATAGAAGAGGAGTCAGGCTGTGGTCAAGGTCTTAAGGCCTCTCTCTCCCTAGCCCTACGGGCCTCCTACCTCTTGAAGGAGCACTTATCAGCATTTAAACACGTGTGTCTCTCCTATCCTTAACAACAAACCACCCCTTCTACCTCAGCCTTGGATCCAGTTACCATTTTCTATTTTTTTCCCTCCCAGCCAAACTTCCCGGATCTGCCCCCACCAAGGTCATTGACAGCTGGCCTCCAAGCCCTCCAATCCAGGGTCACTTCCCTGGTCTCATCATCCTCAGCCTGATCCTCAATAACTCCTGGGTCTCATGCCTGAGATCCGGACATAACTCTCCATCTGCTTCCTGGACACACTCCCATCCCCTGGGAGTCCCACAAATGCTTCAGCTGTAACACATCCACATATGACCTTACTGTCTTTTCTCTCAATCCTGCTCTTCCTTCTCAGACCCCTTCATAGAGAAATGGTGCCACCATCTAGTCAAGACAGAATCCTACCACCATACCCGTCCCTGATCTTCCCACAGCCCTTAGAAATAAAGGTTAAAAAGTGGGTTACATGGCCCTTTGTGACATGGGTCCAGCTGACTTCTTAGCCTAATCTCATGCTCTTAGCCCCTCACAGTCTACTGTATACAGCATCCTCCACTGCCCACACTCCCTCCGATCTTAGGACTTCTATCTGTGAGGTTTCATCTCCATAGAATGTTCTCTTCTGTTCTCCCCTTGCCTCATTCCTACTTGCCCCTCAGGATCACCCAGCCATCACCACTTCTGAGAATCCCCTGCAGCAGAACCAGCTATTTCTTAGTCTCCTGTTACCTTAGTCCCCTGTGATTTTCTTCTCTCCTCATAATTCAGATCAGGGTATAATATGCCTCTTGGCAAATAAGATGGACAATACTTCTTGCTCCCTGAGGGAGGTACCCTCAGCTGGGCCTTGACCCGGGACTCAACTTTGTCATATTTGGGCGAGCGCCACAGAGCCTTCAGGGGCCTGGGCTGGCCCTGTTCCCGGCTGCGCTCCTGCTCGCGGAAGCGCTTCTGGATCTCCTTGATCCTCTTCAGGTTCTCCTTCTCATGGTCTTTAGGGTCCTTCCCTGAGAAAAAAATGTTGCCAGGCTCTGCCCTATATGCAGCCCATGAAAACCAACTCATACCAGTTCACATCCAGGGTCCATATAAGTTAGACCCTATACGGATACTCCACCTCACCATCTTGTTTCTTTCCTGACATGGTATTAATCATCTTGTATATAATATTCATCTCACTTGCTTATTGCCTCCCACATTGACTCAACCTGATGCTTGTCTTCAACCTGTTTTCATAGCAGGTATTGGGCCTGGCACACAGTAGGCACTAAACAGCAAACGTTACATTGATGCGTGAATTCATGAAGCTGAGGTAGGGTTTCTGGGGGACTACCTCATTCAGTCCTCTCTTGGGAGAAGGTAGTGCATTTCCCTCCTCACCCCACTTTCATAGTTGGGGAAAGTGACACTTAGAGAGGCAAAGCCAGAGCCCAGGCCAGGGCAGGAGAGGGAGCAGTTTTTGATCTGATTTGCTTCGCTGCTGCTGCCCAGAACTTACTTTTGGGAGAGGCCCCTGGGCCTAGGGAGATACCCCCTAGCTGCAGCAGCACACCCCCCACGCCACATCGACCACGTTCCAGGATCTGTTTGGCTCCAGGACGTGCGCGGGGGCCGCGGGGCGGGGTGCCGTCCAGGTCCGGGTCCGAGGTCAGCAAGTCCAGCTTCAGCGCGTTCCCCTCAAGGCGCCCTTGGGCTGAGGGGTTGGACGGGGTGGAGTGCGGGGGTCAGTGGTGGAGTGGAACCTGAGCCTTGCTCTGGCCTCGCTGGGCCGCGGCCCCCCACAACTCACCCGAGGCGGGCCGCCGGTAGTAGTCAGGACAGAGCGTAGGGTCTGGGGGGATGGGCCCCGAAATGCGAGACGGGCCCTCGCACATGCCGCCGTCGTCACCCTGTAACGGTGCACCGAGGCTTGCCAGGCTGCTTATCTGGAGCCCCAGACCTCCTTCCTCAGCCTCGTGCCCACTCCCTGGACCGGACGTTGACCCTGGCTGGCCGTACCCTCCATTCCCGGTCCCCGGCCTGCACTAGCCGCCTCGACTCCTAGCCTACTTCTCCGACCCGTTCGCAGCTCCTCCCCCCCTCCAGCCCCCCGACAATCGGGCGAGGGGCTCACCAGAGCAGGTTTTTGCAGCCTGCAGCTGCTACCCGCGGGTTTGCTGTTGCCAAGCAACAATAGTTTCCGTCTCTGAGGTCAGGGGCCAAAGACCCTGGCGCAAAGCTTTCTGGGGCTTGTAGTTCCAGCTTAGGTGGAGCTCAGCGGTCACTAGCAGCTCATCCCATCTTGTCCCTTCCAACCGATCAGTCTCCCGGGTACACCTGTCCGGCTCCTCGGGCCCGTTTCCTCCTCCTTCCACCCCAGCAGCCGTGGAGGATGTGCTGACTCTGTGCAGCCATGGACTCGGCAGGGACTGAGAGGCGACCTGGGGCCCAAGAGGGGACGGCCGAGCGGCCTGCACAGGTCGCGGAGGAACCCAGTGGCCACGCTCAGAGTTCTGAGGTGACTACCAGGGCTATCTAGTCTTTAAACTCATGGCCTCGGTGCTTTTGAAGGCCAAACTCTGTGCGTTGACCCCCTAACTGCCAAGACAGGCTCTGGGGCGGGGGAAGGGGGGGAAGGGGGGCAGGGGTGTGGGCTGGTGCCCTTTATCCGCATTTGGTGTCTAATGTCGGTGTCTAAATGACCAATCCCTGTATCTTTTGCCTGTCTATGATGACCAGTTACCTATGTCTCATGTCTAGTGTCTAGTGATGGGAAACCAGGGCCTGGTGTCAGCCCATGAAGCCTGTGGGGCCCAGGGTGAAGACAAGTGCCCAACAGGACCAATCTCAGAGCCAGAGCTCCAGGGGGACCGCCTCAAGCTGGAGGAAGAGCGGCTCAAGCCAGAGGCAGAGGCACTAGAGGAGAGAGGCCCCAGGCCCATGGCCTCCGTTGTGAAGTCCAGTCATGGTCCAAAGAGAAAGCCTGTCAAGTGAGGGGGATTTCGGAGGAAAAGAGCAGCAGGGCTGCCAGGGGGTGGGGGTGGGGAGGTGCCACACACCAACAGGATCCCGAATCCCTGCAATCCTGCAGAGTGCATCCGTATCCCCTGCCACCACCATCACTCCTCATCCCTTCCGTCCTTCAGGGAGAGTCTCAAGGCCTTGGAGGGGACTGAGCTCCCATGAGCCTTAGGACTTGTCCAGCCTGGAGGCCTCAGTGACCAGGAAAGGGACAAGAGTCTGGGCCTGGGGTGGTGGGCATGTGGGCCTTTCCCTAGGCTCAGGGTACGGGAGCCAAGGCTGGAGGCTGCCTCCTCAAGCCTCCTGTCCCCCAGCCTCCCAGGGCCTAGTCACCCAGCCCATCATCCCAGGGCTGAAGCTGAGCTGTCCCAGGGGCTGCTGCCGCAGAGGGAGGACCTGGAGGGTAGCCAGAGTGAGCCCTCACCGTCTGCCAAACAGCACAAAAAAGCCAAGAAACGCAAGAGCCTGGGGGCCCCAGTGCTCCCAGCTGTGACCAACACAGTGTCTGCATCATCAGAGACCTTGGGGCTGGAGCGTGAGTGTAGTCCCTGGGCCTTCCATTTCCCCCCTGCCTGCTGGACCCCTGACATAGCACAGCTTGGCATCCAGCCCCTTCTCTGCCCCGGGCCCTTGCAGGAAAGGCCCAGCGCCTACGGCCCCTGTACCAGTACATCAACTATTGCAACCCTGAGCTGAATGAGGTAGGGGAAGGGGATAGGGAGGCTGAGGTCGAGGTGGAACCTCAGTCGGACCTGGTCCCCGAGGAGGCCTGTGTGGAGCAACTGCCAGCCTCGCTGCCTGCGGCAGGTGAGCTGAGCTCGGGCCTGACCCTGCCCTGCCCCAGTATGTTCATGTCTCCCACTCATGCTCTGGTTCCCCTTGGGGAGGAGGCTGGAGAAGAGCCTGGGGGTTTGCCCAGTTTGGGGGTCAGCGGCTTACTCAAGACTGAGATGGATAAGTCAACTCAGGTGGACATCAACAAGATGCTGAGTGTCTGCGCTGCCCCACTTGTACCCCCACTCTCTCCTCAGTACAAGTGACTGTCCCATCCCACGGGTGGCTCCTCTCTTCCCAAGCCTGAACCAGAGAAGCTTATGGGCTTCAGTCCTCAGGTGGAGGGGCCCCTGCTCACACTTGGGAACTTGGACTTGCTGAAAATAAACGTTTTTCATTTTCTCAGACTTTGACTCCCTAGATAAGATGCCTGAAGAGGGAGACCCTGGAGAGAGAAGGGTGGAGGATTCCCAGTGCAGGGCTTGAAGTCTGACTGGTCATCTGGATCACCCAGGAACCTGACAAGAGTATAGATTCCTGGGCACTACATCAGATCTTACTGAATCAGTCTGCAGGGGCGGGACCTGGTCTGTGCATTTAAAGGCTCCTCAGACAAACCTGAAGATCAGACAGGACAATGGTGAGGATGGAAGGGGAGGTGATGAGGAACTTGGGGGCAGAGAAAGGAAAGGGACTGTCAGGTCGCCGGAAGCAGGTGTTTGACCTTGCTCCCTGCCTGCCAGGGAAGGGGCTTGCATTTGGGGCTTGCATTTGGTCTGGCCTTGAGGGGACCAACACTTGGGATACTACGCCCTCTGAGATGGCAAAGTTCCTTTGTCCCAAGAGTGGCAACTTTGTAAGACTTTATTTTTAGAGCACAGCTGGACCACACTTTGCTCCCAGAGTGGCCCCTGGTGACAGAGGATTGGCGCCTTTTTCCTGGCAGGCAGGGGATGGCGGGGGAGGTGAACAGTCTCCCTGGAGCCTTGCAGCTACGCCACCAGATGACTGCTGCTTCTCGCCGGCAGGGCTCTCTGGGAAGAAGCGTCCAGTGCTGGCCGTCTTGGAAATCCTCACATCCTGCTGCTTCCTGGCCCTCACCCGCTGTCACCATAAACACAGGGGATTTCAAATTAAATGAGTAATTTCTCCTCCCTCCAACCTGCTTTACCTCCTGTATCTCACCTACACAATTGTTCAAGCCAAACTCCTGGGTGTCACCACAGACCCACACGCTGTTCATGGCTCACTGGCTCCTATAAGCTAATCAGGCATCGAGGATGGCGATTTGGCTGCACACCCCCCGAACCCCTGATGGGGTTGCTCCCCCTCCAGCACTCTGCTCCTCCTACCCCAGCTGCCTTATAACTTTTCAGTGGTTTCCCATCACTCCCTGACTAGCTGCACCTTGTCTCACTTTTGCTCTGCATATGGGGTTTCCACTGCCTAAAATGTCTTTATTCCTTCACCCCTTCACCTGGCTCATGCACACAGAACCCCGAGGACTCAGGGCACCTTGTTTCGTGGCAAGCCCGCGTTGCCCTGCATTGTAGTACCCACATACTACCGTCCTTGTGGGTATTAACTGTCTTCGGGACTAGACTGCGAACTCCCCAAGGGCCTTTGTCATTGCTCACAGCCACCTAGCAGAGGACCCCTATAAAAGGCACCTAGATAAGGAGACCAGGGTGAGGAGCTGAGGAAGCTACAGAGGGACAAGTCAGGATCCAAAAAGCTGAAGCTGCCCGAAGCCCACAGCACGTGTGGAACCCCTGGCGTAATGGCCTGCCAAGGTCACTGAAAGGCATGGGGTGGGCAGGCCCAGATGGAAGTAGAAAATGGCTGTCACGTGAGGCTACTCCCTCCTTTAGGGATTGCTTGGATGCTCACTGGCCCCATGGCAAGGCCACAGGACAAGCCACAGGGTCAGGACATTTATTCTTTCTGCCCGTACTTCCCTCTGGGTAGTAATCTGACCATCCCAGGAAAGTGTCCACAGGCACCGTGCTGACCATGATATCCATAGGAGTGAACATGGATTCTCTGGGATTTTTCAGAGGTAGAGGGCCCCTCCAGATAACTGAGTCTGACCTCCTCACTTTGAGGTTGAAGTAGTAGAGGCCTGGAGAGAAACAGCCTTGTATGAGGCCCCACTCTATCCTGAGTCCTGCAGATCTGAGGGCCCTGGGCTCTCTGGCTAAGGCCTGACCCGAGGCCAAGCATCTGCTTTCTGTGTGGTTTCCAGGGCTGGAGCTGTGGACCAGGCCAGCATTGATAAGGAAGCTCTGTTCCCATCTTCTAACAGGTAATGTAGGAAATAGTAACCATCGAAGAAAAAGTCTTCTGTTTTTCCTGAAAACAGAAGTCTCATGTATCCGGAGGCCCATTACCTGAGAAGCTTGTCTAAGCAGGTTGGGCGACAGTAGACACAGAAAAGAACAAGTCACCACTGCTCCTAGGAGCTCAGTCGAAGGGTAAAGTGCAGAAACAGCACAATGCAAAGAGACACATGCTATGGAAGAGCTGAGGATCAAGACTGTGGGACCAGAGGTGGTGGGGGTGACTGTCACTATGCCTAGGAGGTCGTGAAGCAGCAGCCCTCCAGCTGACTCCTGGAGCATTGGGTGGCCTTCCAGGCAAAGGATATGCCAGGGATGAAGCCTTGCTAGTATGGAAGATGTCAGCTCCGTGCAGAAGGGCCACTTGGCATGGGTGAAGCAGAGGCATGGCCATCAGGAGATCAGGTTGGGTGAATCTGGGAGAGACGAGAAGTGTATTCAAGGAGGGATCTTGGCTGACATTTTGGAGAGGTTTTTTGGGCAGCAGTGTGAAGGACAGAACGAGAAAGGGAGAGACTGGGGACACTGAGGTGAGGAGACTGTTATTGCCTGGGTATGAGGTCTAGATCTGGCTGGGGGTTGGAAAATAAACAACGGGTATTTTGGAAATACTCTTCTGGCTGCTGTAAGAGAGGAAAAGTTGACTGCACTTTCACTGGCTTGGAAAAACTTGATTTACTTTGACCCAGGGAAGATTGTGAGGTGTGGGACACAGGTCCTGGGAGGTGATGCTGCCTTCCTCCAGGAGGGGGCAGTGCAGGACAAGCCTGGAACCACTTGCAGGCTCAGTGACCCCTAGGGCCCAGCCCGGCTGGCTTCCTTGGCCCCAGGCACCTGGGCTACTTCAAGGTGCATCTCTCTCTTCCCTGGGACCAACCCAAGACATGATAGTAAAGATGTCTAAAGGACAGCCATGGACCTGGACTCTGGGAAGTGCCAGCAGAAGACCTGGGGTCCTCATAAAGTAGTTTTGCACTAAGTCCACTGCAGTCTGCCGCAGGACTTCTGGGAATTCATCACTGTAAATAAGGGGTTTGCTGCAGAGCTCTATAAAACCTAAGTAGTGCCACTGTGAGACAGCATCCGTATCAGGCAGAATATGTGCATGTGTTTTCTTAGTCAATCTCCAAATTCAGGAGGGATCTCAACATCCTAGTTAACACACGGAGGGACTGACCTGGAGCTGAGCTGATGGTCCCTAGGCAGAGGGGGTAGCTTCTCCTTCAACTCCACCAGTGTCCTGACCGGTGGGGCTCTCTGCAGTCCCCCTCCTAGGTCAGGCCACGACGAGACCCTTGCTGGCCGGGAGGAGGCAGCCCCCTGGACGGGGTTTCAGGCGAGGAGGGGCAGTGTCTGGGCACCTGGAGCCTGAGGAGCCACAAGTGCTGGGGAAAGAGTAGTTCAGGGTCAGGCTCCGAAGTCAAATGACCCTGACCAGGTTCCTGACTACGTCACTTAAAACTTACAGGAGGCAAATGACTTTCCTTTTCTCTGCCTCAGTTTTCTGATCTGAATATGGCAGTATTAATAGTAGTCATAGAGTGGTTTGGATATTAAATAATACACATAAAGATATCTACCCCAGGGGGCCCAGCATGCAAAAAGCATACTCCAACACTAGTCAGTTATTTTACGTCACCAAGACAAGGTATAACCAGGACGATACAGGAAAACAGGCCTGGTGACTTTCACAAGGCGGTGCCAAGATGGAGCCCCCTCCTTGAGTCTTTGTCTGGCAAGGAGCCCAGGGCAGGGCAGAGAGGGAAGGTCAGAGAAGGGGAAAGTGGTCCAGGTTAGTCCTGGCAGGCCGGCAGTGGAATGGGTGTCCTTTCCCACCGCCCCACCCTTCCCCACCTCTGACTGACGTGGCTGACTATCCTTTTGTAGAACACAGGCTAGTAAGTGCATGGCTGACTGGCTGGCTGGGCCAGTCACTGTTTGGCATACCCTCTCCAAGGGGAGGTGCGTGGCACCTTCCTCCCCAAGTTCACCCCGTCCAGTCTCCCTCGGACCACTCCTCACCTTCTCTCTCTCAGGGCTCCCCTGGAGCCAACTGCATGGTTTTAAGAACAGAACCCCTCCTGACCTGAGCCCAAGGAGGCTCCAAACGCTCCCACTGCCTCCCTGGACCAGCAGGCCTGATGGGTCCCCATCAGGAAGTCAAGCCCAATTTTTTAAGGAGACTTTTCTTTGGAGGGTTCCTGGGATGTGGTGACAAGGGGAGACGCTGGGAGATGAGGGCTGGCGGTGGCAGGAGCCTGCGGGGCGCGCCAGACAGTGATGGATCCAGAGGTCAGAGCTGCTGTGGAGCCACCAGGAAAGAGGAAAATATAAACAATCTACAGCAACAAATAAGCCGTTCATTATTAAAGGAACCTAAGTTACCAAATAGCCAACAACCACATGCCGCAGTGTCAGTTTGATTTATTTATTAACATTTATCAGATATTCCAGAGCTCTCTCTTGTCTCCTCTCTGGGAAATCAGGGGCCCTCTGCTCCAGTCACCAGCCCCCCGAGAGCTCACCTATAAAGAAGCCATCCTCCCTGCCAGCGACAGAGCAGCCTGAAAGCGGGAAGGGCCTGGTCACATGGGAGGGAGGGCAGGTGCAGCTCCCTGGGGCATGGATTACTTGTTATCCTTCCCATTCCTGAGATGCCCTAAGCCGAAGAAGGGCATGGAAACAAGGCTTCTTGTCATTACTCCTCAGGGCTGAGGAATCAACCAAATTGGCTCCTTGCTATGCTTTCTCACCCAGTTATGACCACAAATAGGCTGAAGAAGCCCCCAAGTCAAGCTTTTGCTGGCCCTGCTCACCAGCACTGACTACAGAGAGACCTGGCGGCAGCTCTGCCTCTCACTCATCATGCTAGTCCACTCGGCCATGGCAACAGGAACATCACTGCCCTGCACGGCTGAGGAGTAATTAAGTGCTGGAGGGGGCGTTTTACGGGGGCCACATTGGGCTTCACCTGGGCCCTGCCCAAGTTGACTTCTTAAATAAAAGACACACTCTATGCTACAGCCAAGACCTCCCACCTTGCCCCTGATCCCTCCCTGGCCCCTTTGCCCATGGCAGGGAGCCCATGTGCAGGCTCACAGATTATTCCGCTGGAGCGCCTCACACAGGTTCTGGTTGGCATCAGGTTCTTCCGTCAGCACCTCCACAGCTTCCCATTCCCCGGATCGGCTGGACCTTTTGATGGCGTCTACCACACTCTGCATATACAACCCATCCTCAAATGAGGCGGCCATGGAGACGGGGGTATGGTCCCATGTGCGGCGGTCCCCCTGCCCCTGGAAGGACTGGCGCAGGGCCTGCACCATGTAGACCATGCCCTTTAGGTAGAGCAGCGGGACATCCTGGGGCCCCTGCTCAGGCAGTCCTGCGTCCAAAGCCAACGAATCCCTCAGGAGCAGCTCCTCCTGTGTGGCAGAGTTCTTCTGCCCATACAGGTCAGCTCCCCGGGCAACGAGGCGTCCTGCAGAGCCTACTACCATGACCTCGTGCACAAAAGCACCTGGCATGTTGAAGTTGAGTGTTACTGTGCTGCACACTCCCCCACCCATGAGCATCTGGAAGAAGCAGAAGTCATCGCTGGTGACGTGCCGGATGCCACGAATGGCTGCATTCTGCCTCACAAAGGTCTTGAGGAGCCCATGGACCTTCTCGGCTCTCCGGCCAGTCAGGTGGGTCAGAAGGTCCACGATGTAGGTGCCCATGGTGTGCAGGCCCCCACCGCCCATAAGCTCGTCGCAGATCCAGCCATAGTTGGGGCTGAGCAGGCTGCCTGAGTAGATGCGGGCGTCGCAGATCATCACTGCACCCACGTAGTGCTCAGCGATCAGCTGCTTCATGCGCACGAAGGCAGGTAGGAAGCGCAACACGTTCCCCACCAGGCTCATCAGCTGTGGGTAGTAGCGTGAGGCTGTCACCATCCGGAAGGCATCCACGGAGGTTGCTGCCTTCTCACAAACCACATTCTTCCCAATACCTGAGAATAAAACACAACAGGAAATGTCAAAGTCCCAAGGGATATACACTGGGAAAATAAACTTTTTCAAAGGCAGGTGGACTCAGGAAAGCCTCCTTTGAGAGCAGATGGTGGCCTGGGACAAGAGGAAGGGTGACTTCAGTTTGGATGAAAATGGTACCCAGTGACTGGGACTGTAGAGTTATAGGCTGGAGACAGAGGAGTAAATTCTTAAGGGAAAAGGAAAGGAGTAGAGGCAGAAGGCACAAACCGGGAGTGGGAGCTAGAGAGGCGGTGTGATGATAATTTTGTGCGTCAGCTTGGCTAGGCTATGGTGTCCATCAAACAGCTCTAGACATTGCTGAGAAGTTGTTTTTTTTAAAGATGTGATTGACATTAAACCATCAGACTCTGATAGGAGTAGATCATCCTACATAATGTAGGTAGGCCTCACCCAATCAGTTGAAGGACTTAAGAAAAATGACTAAAGTTCCCTGAAGAGGAAGGAATTCTGCCTGCAGAACACCTTCAGACTCAAATCTGCAACATCAACTCTTGTTGGAATTTCAATACTGTTGTTCTGCCCTGTGGATTTCAGATTTGCCAGCTCCTCCAATCACATGACCCAATTTCTTAAAATAAATCTCTCTCTCTCTACATCCTACTGGTTCTGCTTCTCTGGAGAACACTGCCTAATATAAGTGGGCTGGGGAGGTAGACATGCTTCTTGGACATGCCTATGTACTTTTATGCATTTATTCGATCGCCAGCTTCGGGCAAGAAAAATCTATGTTCTAGGGGATGGACGTTGTACTCACAGGTATACCTGCAGAAAAGGCTCTAAGATTCCCTGCGGATTGTTCTTTGGAAATACTGGTTCAAATAAGTTAGTGAGCCATAAAGCCAGAAAATATTTGGCTTCAATAGGAGGGGAAATGGAGTGAAAACATCCTTTCTGCCCTCACACCCATTCTGAGTCACTGTAGCTGGAAGGCACAGAGCAAAACAAAGGTAGACAAAACCTGATGAGAGAGTCTAAGGACTGAGCAGCTTATTTCCATATGAAGAAATGGAAAAGATAAAAATACCCCATGTTTTAAAATGAAAGTTCACAAGGGTACAAGCAGCCATAAGCCCCCAACACCTGGGGTACTCCTGTGAGCTTGGGGTGGTTCAATTAGAAAGTAGTCCTATGCTAATACCCTTCAATAAAAACAAAACAAAACAAAAAAAACAACTTATAAAGCCCAAGAAGGGGTATGGACACATACAGGTACAGAGAGCAAATCAGAGAAGCCTTTACTGGGGAGTGATGTTCCAGGGAGCATAAGGGGAAAGGCCATCAGATAGAGGGAACTGCATGTGCAAAGGCACTGAGGTAGAAAGCACCCACAAGCTGGGGTTCCTGTAAGTCTTGTGTACACACCAGAAAATGAACTGGAGGGGTTACACAGGGGCTATAAGTAATGTGAGAAATTAGATAGTTGGTGGACATTCAAGGTGGAGGGGTTAAGTTTGGGGTGGAATCCAAAACTGAGCTCTTGATACTCCCCTTGCCAGGTGTTCCCTATCTCAATGACAACTCCATTCACCCAGTTTCTCAAGCCAAAACCACTGGAGTTCTCTCTCACACCCCACTTTCAATCATCAGTAGGTCCTGTTTGCCGAGCCTTCAAACTACGTTCAGAATCTAACCAGTTCTCACTATCACCACTGCCACCTTCCTAATCCAAGTCACCCGTTTTTGCTTGGATTATTTCAATGGTAACTTAATTGGTCTCCGTAAGTTTCTTCTCAATAAAGGAGCCAGGCTAATTCTCTTAAAACTTAAGATGGATCAGATCATACCTCTGGCTTTGCATAAACTCCTCTTATGGCTTATCTCCTTTAGAATAAAAAGCCAAAGTCCTTACAAAGGCCTGTCCACAAGGCCATATATGGTCTCTTCACCCCTCCAAAACTTTCTTTTTGATCCCTTTGTCTACTGTGGTCCCTCCCCTGCACATACTGCTCTAGCCACTGACTGTGAGACAGGGACTGCGGTGTACAAAGGTCTAGTGGATGGGGAGCAGCAAAGATCACTCAACAGAGAACTGACAGGCAGGGCCAGGCCTGTCAATGTGGTCACCACTCAGCATCTTGGGCTAGACTATCAGGTGTGTTTCTTCTTCTTGTTGAAGACCACCTTGAACAATGTGCACATTTAGGCTTCTACCCGAAGGCCCTCTAGGCTCCACTCTCACATTCCGCAGGCATTTCTTGGATAAAAGGGCAGGTGCCCAGCATGGGAGCCTGTACCGCAAGGCAACCAGGTTAAGATTGTGCGTTTTCTGGGTACGTGCATCCCCAATAACCCTGGTGCTCATTCCCTTTGGTCCCCTGAAAATTTTCTGAGTGTTTTCAGGTGGAGTAATGATTGGGATACAGATATTTCTGGTGGCCCAGTGCAGGGTGCAGCTTCCCCGACTCCATTCAAACAGGCTCAGGAGGGGAATTCACTTGACCACTTTACAACAGAAACAATGGTAACTACAGGCAATAAAACTTGCAATAAAAAAATAAGAAAACTTTACACAGATGACTGCTGTCCCACGTGGACAGATGACTACCCAAGAAAGGTCACTTTTGGTGCTGAACTCAAGCTTTGGGGCCAGTCATTTCTGTTAAATTCCTGGTCCTTTAACTTCACTGCTAAATAACTTGAAAAACTTCTGAACTTCTCTGGGCTTTGGTTTACTACACTGCACTATAAAATGGGAGTCAGCCTTGGCTGTCGTGGCTCAGTGGATTGAGTACCGGCTTGTGAACCTAAGGGTCACTGGTTTGAGTCCCAGTCAGGGACCGTCCCTGGGTTGCTGGCTGGGTCACTGGCTGGGTCCCTGGTTGGGGGCACAGGAGAGGCAACCAGACATTGATGTTTCTTTCTTTCTCCTCCTCTCTCTCTAGAAATAAATAAATAAAATCTAAAAAAAATTAAAATGGGAGTCATATCCACCTTGCAGAGTAGAGAAGACGACTAAGTCAAATGAGACAGCGAGTGTGAAGTGCCTGGCCCAGCGCAGATGTCAATGGTGTAGTTTACTACCATGGCCACAGAGAGACCCAACAGATGTCCTAAATACCAAAGGGCCCATAGTGACTTAAATTTTAAGACTCACAGAGAAGCTACATTTTTTAGGCCAATAATTTTGATGTTCAGAATTTTGAAATTTTCATTTTTAAAAAAGTTTTAAAATCAACATGAACACAGATGAGTTTTCTTACTATATGTGCTATTTATTGGGCCTCTCGTACAGTCACACCTGCCCAACCCTGTGGAGGCTCACATCCTCCCATAGGAGACAATGCGGGGCCTCTGGCCTATCCTTCCAAGCGGTCCTCACTTCCTGCCCCTCCCCTGCCACCTTGACCCTCAAGACCTCCACAGAGCACTTGCCTTCTGCACACATGGGATTCGCAGGCATGAACTCCCAGTGTTGTGAACCTCGGTGCTACAGCAAGGAGGAACACATGGAGATCAGTAGCCTATGAGATAATTCAATCTCTTCCCTTGACAAAACTTTTAAATCCCTTGCTCTTCTCTAAATAATAACAAAAACTTTATTACAGGTGCTGGCAGGACAACAGGAGACTGGCTAGCCACATGTCACATGTCCAGGGCAGGGGGTCAAGGCAAGGGGCGAGTTCCTCACACTGGGGTCTGGCAGGAAGGGGCCCTGCAGGGAATGTCGCCCCGACTGCTATCACTGTCCGCTCTTGGAGGGTCTCCAATGCTCCTTTACACTTGTGGGGTTTTAGGATTGGGACCGGAGAATCACAACAGTGGGTAAGAATTGCGCCACTTGGCTGTACAACACACACGGCTGACGAGGAAAGTAATGAGGAAATGAGGTCCTCAGACACCAACACCGCATGTGAGAGCTGTAGCTCTGGCCAGACCAGAGGCTTCCTGCTGTAACTATTCGCGTCAGCGATGGGCGACCACTGCAGTGTGGGGAGGGGGGGAGGTGGGCTGGGAGGAAGAGGATTTTTCTGTTTGGAGGTGGTAAAACTAGGATAATTAATCTCTTTCATGCCAGAAGAGGTCAGGGAAGGGGGAGAGACCCCCCCTCCTGAGCCTGAACAACAGGAGAGATTTTTAACTCAGGACCCAGCAGTACTATCAGTGTGGAAGCTAAAGGCCTTTTTGAGTTCAACAGACTCCTGCAGGCCAGCTACATGGGGTCTTTACCTTTAGGAAGACTTGGGTTACCTTAAAAGACTTGTTCATCTAACCTTCCTGCCAGGAAGTCAAAGGAGAGATTAAGAGAGCTAAAAACTGCTTGTTGTCTCTAGGAATAAGGAAAGCATGGATGCTGGGTGCTTATTAGCTCAGATCTTTTGTGGGGTGAACAAGATTCAAGCTGCAAGCCCCTCTCCAGCTCACACTCCAGAGACTACTTAGGAGTGAAGTGCCCTTAAGCACCAAAGGCCCAGAGAAGCTGCCTCAGACCATCTCATTCCCTGAAACCACGACCACAGGTTCCCAGTGCTGGGACCACGACACTTCTGTTCCCCGACTTAGAGGCGTGGGACTAGGTCAATGATTTCAAACAGCAGGGTAGAGAAGTAGCTTGGGAAAAGCAGGGATTCTATATACATATTTTAAAACAAAAAAGGTTCTGCTACTAGAAAAATAGTTTGAAGGCCTCAGACTGATTCACTCTTGCTCACGGCCTCCTCTGCACCTTTTCCTGCGTCGCAGGCCCATGGTGGCTCCCTGGGTCACACCAGCAGACTGGGCTCATGTGGGGAGAATCTGTGAATGTCTTCATTCATCCAGTGTGCTAGGCCGTGTGTCAAACGCTGGGGATACAACATCAGGCATGGTCTCTACCTTCAGGAAACTTAACATTAGGTGGGAAAGATAGCCACTGATTAAGATATAATACAAATACACATAGAACTTCACCTGCGATAAATGCCATGCCTATGCTATACATAATATGAAAACATAAAGCAGGAACCTTACCTGGACTGGGGTTCAGGGAAGGCATCTCAAGGGACTGGTGTACTTGGGATTAAATTATCTGGGTCAGGCTGCTTGAGGAACGATCTCTTGTTATCTCAACAGCCCATGGGGAAAGAACTGGCAAACTTGGTGTTTTTCTAATGAAACATGTAAGTGCCAAGAACTCGGCACAGAAACTCACCTTTTAGTGACAGATTTCAGAAAACATTAAACTGTGACAAAGATGTTAGGGCACTTTGGACATTAAACTGTATTTTTCTGAGCTGAGAAATAAAACCTATCAGGGCCCTGCCCTGGCTGGTGTGGCTCAGTGGACTGAGTGCTAGCCTGTGAACCAAAGGGCCGCAGGTAACCCAGCTGAGGGGTGTGCCCGGGTTGCAGGCCAGGTCCCTGGTAGAGGAGTGCAAGAGGCAACCACACACTTATGTTTCTCTCCCTTTCTCCCTCCCTTCCCCCTCTCTAAAAAATAAATAAAAATCTTAAAAAAAAAAAAAAAATGTCAGGATCCCTCCCTCTCCTTTAAGGAATTTATGGGAAAGATTTAAAGATAAAATTTGAAGTGGAAGAAATTTAAAAAGAAAAGAAAAAGAAAAAAAATGGTCAAACAGAAGCAGAAAATACGATGCCACAGAAACAATTGTGATATGAAAAGTACACCTCTGGAGGATAAGCCCATGAATTAATTTTAGGAAAAACTAATAAGAACGAGGGCAAGAACCAATCCTTATGGCCTCAGATGTCAGGTAAAAATGTAATGATCTAACAAGCTAAGGAAAATGCAATTTTGCCCACAGCATTAAGACTTAATGAGAAGTAAACTTAATATTCCTGAGCCTTGGTGTCTATAACTGAAAATGAAGACACTGGGTTAGATCAGTGACCCTCCGTCCTCAGTGTACATCAGAATCACCTGGAAGGACTGTTCAACCACAGATTGTGGGGCCTCACCCCAGATTTAGAGGGTCTAGGAATGGGCCTGAGAATCTGGATCTGTAACAAGTTCCCAGGTCATACTGATGCTGTTGATTCAGGGACTACATTCTGAGAGCCACTGGACTAGCCTCTCTCCACAGCCCCTGCACAAGTGTGAATGCCAGAAAAAGAAAATATAGTCACAACTGTTATGAAAAGTTTTAGGAGAATCACAGTTTCCTAAATGACACGTTCTCATAGGTGCAAATCTGTATCAGAGCTGTGTGCCTTGCATTGTTTCTGAGTCTCCACAACCTAGCATAATATGAAAGAATCCATAACTACATGGAGGCTTTAGGTGACTGGGATAAACTTTTCACGGGTTCAAGACCTGGAAGAACTAATCTAAAATTATAGTACTTGAAAAGCTATAGAGCTAAATATGAGCCCTCCCTGCTCCCCAAGCTCTAAAAAGACTGGAAATCTAGCCATGGCTGGTGTAGCTCGGTTGGAGCATCATCCCCGTACACCAAAACACTGCACGTTCGATTCCTCAGGGCACACGCCTAAGTTGTGGGTTCAATCCCCAGTCGGGAGCCTACAGGGGAGGAAAACCAATCGATGTTTCTCTTTTACATCACTGTTTCTATTTTTTTTCTTTTGAAGGAAGGTTTTTTGTTGTTTTTTTTTTTAAAGATTCTATTTATTTATTTTTAGAGAGAAGGGAAGGGAGGGAAAAGGGGAAGGAGATAAATACAGATGTGAGAGAGAAACATCAGTAGATTGGCTCTTGCATGCCCCGAAGTGGGACTCTGGCTCTCAACTCAGGCATATGCCCTGACCAGGAATTGAACTGGCAACCTTAAACTTTGCAGAGCAATGCCCAACCAACTGAGCCACACAGGTCAGGGTGCTTCCCCTCTCTCTAAAAGCAATGAAGTAATGTTCTTGGGTGAGGATTAAAGAAAAAAAAAGACTGCGTATCTAAAGTCTAAAGCTTAGACACCGCCTCAGTAACTGGAAGAAAAAGAGAGAGAGAGAGACCTATGTGGGGAAAACACAAAAAATATCCTCTCATGAATACATAAAGAGATTCATACATGGGAATACACAGTTAGATGGAATGGCAGTGAGGGTCTTTGGGGGTAATGAACCTGAAGACTTTTAAATACATTGTATAGGAAAGCCTGGCTTTTCCTTGTAACATGAGGCTTTTTTGAACGTCTTTCTTGGTAAACACCTGGAGGCAGTCATATATCATGCAGAAAAGGCCATGATATCTCTATTTTACCCCTGTTTCATAGGCGCCCAGAGAGGCTGAGAGGGACAAGAAATAGGACCTGGAGCGGGGTCTGATGTCAAGCAAGGTCAGTTAGGTGTTCTGTGTACAGCAGTTCACGTACTCACATCCAGTCCTTCGGGGAAACTAGTTCTTTTGGCCTCTTCCATATGTGCTAAAGTCAAGCCAGAATTCTCACTAAAAAAAGTGAAGGCACTCAGGGAGTGGACTTCATGGTCACACAGTCTCAGGGACTCCTACGGAGACTGAGTGGGCAGAGCCTGAGGGCAGGTCTAGCTGACATGGGCTCTCCCAGGCCCACCAACTCCTGGGATCATGTGCCACCAAGGCCTTTCATCCATACTCTCCTCCTCCTGACAACAGAGATGAGGAGAGAAGACTGATGGCCTTGCTTCACCAAGGGCTGAGATACAAGATCCCAGTTTCTGACATCCTTGTATTTCCTGTTTAAATTTTTTTTATTTATTGATTTTTAGAGAGAGAGACAGATGGATAAATAGAGAGAAACATCAATTTGTTGTTCCGCTTATTTATGCATTCATTAGGTGATTTTTTATGTGTCCTGACCAGGGATGGAACCTGCAACCTCAGTGTATCGGGACGACACTATAACCAACTCAGCTACCCAGCTAGGGCTGTACTTCCTGTTTATAGTAAGTGGCTCAAAGTCTAGCATATTCCCATACCAGGAATTGGAAAACAGCAGGCTTGTGGCCATAGAACCCTGGGGTTACCCCTTCTTTCAATACACCTTGGAAGTGGTTTCTGTGGGGACCCTAAAATTTAGGAAGACTGAAAACCTCGTGTAACAGATCTGGCCTCACGAACAAGAAATGCAAAAAGTCAGGTGACCATGGTAGCTTGATCCCTCTTGCATCAGCCTTCTGTTAAAGTGTTGACTTAAGTCTACTTCTAAACTCAATCTGGGAGCCATTATTTACCCTCCTAAGAACCTAGAGCCAATGAACAGCTTGAATGTCACACATCCTCAGAGACATAAAGAGCTCTCCAGAAAAGAAAGCTAGAAAACTAGCCACCTATAATTTTTGCCCAAAACTTACAAGCCCCGAATCAACAACAGGAATCTCATGTTTGTGCTCACTTCAATGAACATTTATCCTTCCCCACCCATTGGGCCAAAAGTGACAGACACCCTCTCATCCTCAGAACGAGGAAGAAGCAAAGAGCAGGGCCTTAGGCCCTCCACCATAGTAGGGGCCAGGAGGTGTGGCGTGGTGGTCGGCTTGGACTCAGGGACCTCCAAGGGCATTTTAGAGTCACTTGGCTCCTATCAACTTCAAATAATTACTTTGTCAATTAATTATATGCTACTTGAATTGTTACTTAAGTCTTTTCTCATTTACTTTGTCATGTGTTTTTTCTAGGCTCTTCAATTCGACTGTGAAATCTGAAGGTAAGGGGAGCTCTCTGGGCCAACACTGTTCTGAATGTCCAGAATGACATCAGGACAGTGCCTGGCACACAGGAGGCATAAAAAATAAATTGCTGGGTGAATGTTTACTGATTTGTTTTCCTATTAAATTAGATTCTGGTTTATATGAGACAAAGAGAAGAATTTTTTCTACAGTTGACAGGAAAGAGAAGCCTAACAGGAACTGTAGGAAAATGGCTTAGCAAGCTACGCCCAGCCAGGGGCAGGAGGTTGCTGAGCCAACTGCCTCCCGAGGGAATGGAGATGTGAGCAGGCCGTCCTGTGGATCCTGACAGGGAGCCTTCCTGCCCTCCAGCATACAAGATCGCAACGTCTGGCAGGAAGGGTGTGTGCTCAAACTAGTCAAGGCCTGACAAAACAAGGGAAATGGCACCCTTGGTACACACCCTCCTCTCCTTTCTGGGAGGATGCACGCCACAGAAAGGGAACAACACACATCAATCACGACCTAGTCCCCAGTGTCCAGGTCTTTGAACTCTGACTTCACAGAGGCAAACTTTTTACATTGCCTGAAATGTAATAAACCCTAGTCCCTGTGACAGCCTGCTCTTAAGGCATCTGCTTAGTTTTTGCTTGAGATTTACTTACGGGAGGCAGGGAAGGCTGTCTTCCCCAGGCATTACAGCATTTCCTCCCTCAACTGTAGGGCGCCCCAACGTGCCCTGCCCAGCACTGCCCCGGGGGGGGGGGGAGTGCTGTCCCAGAGTACTAGCACCTGCAGGCTCAAGGCCAAGAAGGACCACCTAGAGGGGGGCACAACCTGCCCTTGCTATGGCCTGACCATCCATACCTAGAGCCTTCACAGATATTTGCCGGGTGAGTGGAGGGGGGATATTGATGCACACCAGATCCACGTCTTGATGCAGCAAGACATCATCTGTCCGGCTGGTGTAGAAGGTGATGTTCATCTCCTCAGCAAGCTGTTTGGCCTCTTCCTCAGTCTTCCCCCATAAGGCCTCCACGGTGAACCCTTCTGCCCTCAGCAGTGGGACCAGCACCCGGGCGGAGCTGCCAGTCCCAAACACGCCCACTCCTGGGAGCATCTTCATGGCGGCTTCTCTGTTCACCAACTCATCTCCTCACAAGAGCCTCCAACATGAACATGACCATCCCACAGTCCTGGTCAAACATGGCTCCTGGAACAGCAAGCAGTACACTGGCTATTAGTGGAGGGCACACTCAGTTGCAGCTTTCTGGCTTACTCAGAAGCAACAAGTTCTCTGCCTAAAAGCACAAATGAAACCCTGCTCCAAAATGAAAAGCCGCAGGAGCTTCTCCCAGAGAGACTTAAGGATATTAGCAACATCCATCTCCTGGAAGAAGGAAAATTGAAAAAAATGAGTAAAGCTGGGATCAAATAAATCCCTGTTCTGTCACTTCATTTTCTGTGTGACTCTACTCAACACATTCCACCTTCAGGGACTGACGGTGAAAGTTCATGATTCTATATTATATTACAGGAACAAAAAGAGTGGGAAACAAAACCCAGTAAAAGATGAAAGAGAACTACCTCTAGGTGCTATACAGATTATAATTTAAAAGTTTATGGTAAGGAAAATGTTCACTAGAAACAAAAAATTAAAATTTTTTTTCAACTACCAAACTGGCAACAACAAACATTAACGGTGATGCATAAAAAAAATTGTATATAGTTATTTATGCCAACATTGAATATGATGGTGAAAAATTGGGAAACAGTCTAGATGTTTACTAAAAGGAATGAGTTTGGTAATTAACACTCCAGTGCCACTGAAAACCATGAAGTAGAATGACCTGAAAGACATCACCATATATTTATTAAAAAGTGAGAAAAAAGTGGGGAGACAGGTAGATGGAGGTAGAAGAGGGTATAAGGAGGCTAAATGGTAATGGAAAAAAAATACAATAAAAAATAAACTATTAAAATAATGATGGTGGAAATGGAAAAAAGTGGGAAAATAAAACAGTATGTGAGGTATGATATCAATTTTGTTTTTTTAAGAAAAGCATGGAAGACATATATACAGAGCATATATTGACATGAGAATATACAAGGATATCTATCATGACATACCTATAAAAATATTCTACACATAACAAAAGAAGGACCAGAATATCCCTGAATTTCATGATTACTCAAGTTAATGGGATTCTGGATGATTTTTACTTTTTGAATATTGCCAATTTTTCTACAGTGGATATGTTTACTTATTTTTCCTTCTGATCACAAGCTTTATAAAGTGAAATAAAGAACTAAGTCAAAGAGAAGTCTGCTTAGAAACCAAGTTGAAATTTATGTGTGCTCAGGGTATCAGGTTTCCCCATATGGCACCCTCCCTCAGCTGAACCTGTGTCCCCACTCTGGCTGCGTACTAATGTCATCGGTGACTCCAGACCTACTGAATCCAACTGGAGGATGAGGGTGTGTTGCCATCATTTTTACTGTCTTTATTATTATTATTTTTGTATGTGGTAAAATACAGAGAAAACTTACCATCTTAACCTAGAAGTGAAATTGCTGGATCATAGAGTAAAGCTATTTTTAATTTTTTAAGGAATTGTCATACTGTTTTCCACAGGGGTTGTACCATTTTATATAATAATTTTATTAACGCTTTACAGTCCTTTAGTCTGCCAATTATCTTTTGAAAATCTGACTACTTCTTATCTTGGTCACTGCAAGTTCAATTAAAAAAAAAAAAAGATTTTATTTATTTTTTAGAGAAAGGAGAAGGCAGGGAGAGAAACATTGATCGGTTGCCTTTCACTGGGGACCTGGCCCGTAACCCAGGCATGTGCCCTGACCAGGAATCGAACTGTTGATCTTCCGGCTGGCGATGCCCAACCCACTGAGCCACATGAGTCAGGGCTGCAAGTCTAATTTTTAAAAATTTTATCCAAATGTATGATTTTGCTGCTCTACTTTTATCCACATAACATTGCTTCACTTGCATCTATCTCCTCAGAGATCAGAGTTAATCTCTTTGTCAGTTCAATGGAGACGTGGCATTTTTGCTGTAAATGCCTTATAATTAACTGAGTATTTCACTCCTCAACTGTGAGTGTTAGGCTATATACAACTCCTCACTTCCCTCCCCATCTACGCCATCCTCCCATCTCTGGTCATTTCTGAGTGCCACTTTTGGGTTCCCCTGGTCTTGCCCCAGATCCTTCAACGCTGAAGTTCTTGAGGTTCTGTGAGAGGCATCCTCTTTTCTCATTCCACATGTTCTTTACTACTCATATCCAAGGCTTCAATTAGTGTACCAGTGACTTCCAAATCTGCAGCACAAGCCCAGCTCTCTCCAGAGCTTCACACCCATATATTCTACTCCTAAATATATGCTGATGTTCCGCAAGCTCCACAAAAACCACGTGACCAAATCTGAACAAAAAGCAGTAAAGTAAGATGGCAAGAGCATATGAAGTGAAGTCATCAGAGATACTGGATTCAAATCCTGGCTTCACCACTTCTTAGCTAAATGCAACTCTTTTCATGGGTAAAACAGGTCTAATGTTATATAGCTCCCAGGGTCTTCTGAAGATTAAATGAAGTCCAATTTTAAATTCATAATAAATTATCTGGTATATAGTCAGCATTTAATAAATATTATAAATCCTCCCTCAAACAATTTCTTCCTATATCCTGTCTCATGGAATGTCATCATCATCAACCCAGAGAGCTAGCCAGCATCCGCAACCTTTCTATTCCTTACTTGCACAGACAACTCAACATCAAGTCTGGCTGATCCCAGGTCTTTATTATCTCTTAAGTCCACCCCTTCTTTGTCATCCTTTCTTCTACCAGCACTGCTCACCTGAATGACTGCAACTTGTTCTCTCTAGAGGCTTCCAAGATTTCCTTCCTTCATCCATTCCTCATATTGCAAATAGATCTTTCTAAAATGCAAATAGGTTCACATCACTCCCTTCCATTTAAAACCTTTTAGTGACTTCCCATTGGACTCAGTATGACTTACAAGGCCCAGCATGACCCACAAATCTCAAGATTAAGTCTAATTTTGTGCAGTCACGTTCAAGAGTTATCTTCAAGAGAGATAACCTTCAAAATACATACTTAGATGAGCCAGTAAAAAGAATGCTCTGAGAACCAGTAACAAGTTAGGGGTACAGTTACTTGAAATGACAACAATGGCTTTCGGAGAAACTGATGATGAGTGTGTTTTATTCTTTCTGGGAGAATTAAATACATAGTAGGGAACAGTTGTTTACTGAGATTTTTTCAGATCATATTAACACTATATCCTCTCACAAAAACTTGTACATGAATGATCACAGAATTAGTCATGATAGCCAAAAAGTAGAACCCAAAGTCCATCAACTGCTAAAAGGATAAACAAAATGTGGTATATGCATATAATATAGTAGTATTCAGCCACAAAAAAATATTGGAAGTACTGATACAAACTACAATATGGATAAACCTTGAAAACATGCTAAGTGAAAGAAGTTAACTACAAAAGGCCATATAGTACATGATTCCATTTTTATAAAATTTTCATAAAAGAGAAATCCATGGAGACAGTAAATTAGCAATAGGGGATTAGGGAGGGAAAATTTGGGAGATACAGGGATCCAACTTTATTCTTCTGCATGCGGTTATTCAGTTGTTCTAGCATCATTTATTGAAGAGACTATTTCTTCCTCTGGAATGAGGCTGGCACCTTTGTTGAAAATCAGTTGACCATAAATATATGTTTACTTATGGACTCTCAATTTTATTTCATTGATCTATATACCTAGCCTATGACAGTATCACCCTGTCTTAGTTACTTTAGCCTTACAGTAGGTTCTGAAATCAGTAAGTGTGAGCCTTCCAACTTTGGTCTCTGTCAATATTGTTTTGGCTATTCTGAGTCCCTTCTATTTTCCTATGAATTTTAGGATCGTTTTGTCAATCTAGGATTTTGATAGAGATTGTTTTGAATCTGTAGATCAACTTGGGGAAAACTGCCATCTTAATATTGAGTTTTCTGACCTATGAACATAAGATGTCTTTCCATTAATTTACATCTTCTTTAATTTCTTTCAATAATGTTTTATAATTTTCAGAGTATAAATTACATACTTTTGTTGAATTTATTTCTAAGAATAAATTTTGTTAGATGCTACTGTAAATGGCAATTTTTTCTTAATTTTGTTTTCAAGTCCAGCATCTCTTTTACTTCTAAGGCAGATACATACGTGTGCTGGGCAAAGTACATGTCTATGTTACGTGCTGTTTTGTCAGAATAGCGTATAACACTCTGTCATAAATCTACACGAAGGACACCTGTGCTTTTGTGAACCACTGAAATAAGCATGACTTGGGCTTCCTCTAACACCAGACCCCTGTCAGCTTCCTGCCTCTTCTAGTCTCTACTGTCTGGGGCTGTGGAGCTTGGCTTCCCCCTGAACTCTACCGTTGGGTTTTATCTTAACCATTTTTCTTTCTGATAGTGACTTAGTATCTGTGGCCTCAGCCTCTCCTCTTTCCTCTTTGCTGGTAATTTTCTGCCCCTACAGTCTTCCCTTCCAGTTAGAAAACAGGTTAGTCACATAGAACTTTCTATAATTTTCATGTCCTAGACTCCCTTCATCAATTTTGGTCACTTTCTGTATTTACAGGTTCTTTTTGTTTTTATTTTGAGGGTATGTTTATTAAAGCTGGGGACAGTGAAACAAGGAAGGGCTTAGGATAAAAGAAGCACCAGGAGAGAACATAGGCGGGGCTGCTTTGGCTCACTGAGAAGTGAGAGAAAAGGGGACCTTGGAGACAGGTTCAGGGGGTTATTAGCTCAAGGACAAGCTGCCGCTGCCTACTGCTCCCCTGGATGCAAGTCTCGTGGGGCCCCTTGGAGTTTAGATGTGTGCCTAAGAGGAAAGAAGAGGGGGAAGGGAAAGGCACCTGCAGGTTCTTTTTGTTTATTTTACAGGTCAGGGATATCTAGAGAGCTTGAGTATCAAATTTGTTGCACTAGGTAATTTTCTGCTTAAATTTTGTGGGTCATTAATTACCAACAGCTACAAGGGCCCAGGGAATGAGACAGCCACCAAAACGAAGGATGCCCATACCCTCTGTAAATTCATGCCCAGGACACTCTTCCTGCTCTCTAGCACCTCATTTCCTCATGCTCTAGTCATGTTTGGCTGTGTG